AACGAAATTAGAAAGTAGAAATCTGAACTATTGAGTTGGACAAACCAGAATTCTATTTTTTACTGGTGTTACTTTGACCAACTAAACTAAACTGACCTTCCTAAGCCTAATACACGATATCTGAGGCCTAATATAGTTTATATGTGTACTATACTAGACCTAAGAACATTTAAATATGTTTTGAAGCATCATTTATTTTAAGAAAATTCCATACTAGTCAGTATACTATTATATAAAAGCTCAGTACATACGAATTCGTGACTATTGACGACCGTCACATTAGGTACTATCTAGACAAGAAGATGGGTTACTAAATAGTATACCTACTCAAGATATACTCTCACTCCACGTCACATTTTATCAGGCAAAGATCAGAAGGTTAACTGTGACAGTGATTATAACGTGTTATCTTGGCCTCAAGATGTTTATTGATGAAGATAACACTGGACAACAGCAACAGCACCCAGCAACAAGTTACATTTGTAATGCAACTCACTTTGAATAAAACACGTTTTATTAACCTCTAAAGCTATTTACAAAACTACGAACTCTGATCTTGTAACAGCGAATAATTGAGAGCTAAATTTAATAAGTTTATATAAAAATTGGCTAACACCAATCTATTAAATCTAATCATCGTGTAGCTGATCTCAGAAATGAATGTGCTTAGTTCAAGGCTAAAGTATACATAATGAAGGGTCAGTAAACTTTGTGGTGGCCTTGATAACCTTCCAGAGGTTGCTAGCCTCTTCACCTAATCAAGAAAAAAATGAAATGAAAATTTTTATTCGTGATGAGTGGATATACACACACACACACACACACACACACACACACACACACACACACACACACACACACACACACACACACACACACACACACACACACACACACACACACACACACATATATATATATATATATATATATATATATATATATATATATATATATATATATATATATATATATATATATATATATATATATATATATATATATATATATATTATTAAATATGACCGAAAAAGTAAGATTAATAATTCTAACACGAATTTTCTCAATCTTTAGTACATTACGCTTCACTGTTGGAGGTAAATCAAAAATCAATTCTCCAAAATTCATTTTTATTTCTAGTCTGACGCGACACGGGCGCGTTTCGTAAAACTTATTACATTTTCAAAGACTTTAGTTCACAAATACACAACTGAATAGAACTTACGTATCTCCGATTTTATATCTACTTTTGAGTGAGGTGGAAGGGGTGATGTGGCATTAACACAAGACAGAACAAAATGTGGTATTAATAGGGTATTAATAGGGTATTAATTTCATTAAGGAACATATAATCTCTTCCCACAACCAAACCATCGCCAGAGAAATCCTAGTAAACAACACAGAAATCATCGATAGATACAGCGATAGCAGGCGGCTTGACGTTTGCGAGGCACTACACATCAAGAAGTCAACACCAGCAATCAACAGCCAATTATTGCACAACTATATTCTACCCACCTCAAGACTCCGCTCCAATATAGAAGCATCAAGAAATATGGACCAATAGGCTTTCTACAAACACTTCTATTCAATATCCATTGTTTCGTGTTCTGTCTTGTGTTGATGAAATTAATACCCTATTAATACTCTTGTTCTGTCTTGTGTTGATGAAATTAATACCCTATTAATACCCTTGTTCTGTCTTGTGTTGATGAAATTAATACCCTATTAATACCACATTTTGTTCTGTCTTGTGTTAATGCCACATCACCCCTTCCACCTCACTCAAAAGTAGATATAAAATCGGAGATACGTAAGTTCTATTCAGTTGTGTATTTGTGAACTAAAGTCTTTGAAAATGTAATAAATTTTACGAAACGCGCCCGTGTAGCGTCAGACTAGAAATAAAAATGAATTTTGGAGAATTGATTTTTGATTTACCTCCAACAGTGAAGCGTAATGTACGAAAGATTGAGAAAATTCGTGTTAGAATTATTAATCTTACTTTTTCGGTCATATTTAATAATATATGTCTACAGGAAAGACTGCTACCAAAATATACTAATACATATATATATATATATATATATATATATATATATATATATATATATATATATATATATATATATATATATATATATATATATATATATATATATATATATATATAGGGGGGTACCACCTCTGGTGCAATTATATGGACCCACAACCTCAAAGAAGGGAACACAGAGCATTCAGAGAAAAACTTGCCATTTGAATCTGAATACGTATGTGTTCGCTTCTCCTACTACCCCTCTTTTTATGGCGTACACTTTATTATGCAAGGTTATACAGTTACATATCTGATTTTATACAAAAATGAACATTGAGAGGACACAAGAAAAAGTTCGCTTTCTAGAGGCTGTAGATTTCCTATATATATATATATATATATATATATATATATATATATATATATATATATATATATATATATATATATATATATATATATATATATATATATATATATATATAAAATTTTTAATAAGGAAGGGAGTACCACCTCTGGCTGGAAGAAGGGGGACCCATAGCCTCGGAGGAAACCACACATAACGCATTGGAGGGAATGTAGGTCCCCCTCCAATACAGTTTCTGTGTGCTTTTCTCCTACCACCCCCTTCCCTTTTTTTTTTTTTTTTTTTCCTTTATTGTGTATTTAAAGGTTACAAAACATACAAGACAAATGCCTAAAGGTTATGGATCTCCTGAAGCTCCTCCGCTTCTGGACAGGAACCGAGGACGCAGCAAGCATTTCCCCTCTGGATCGCCACACTGAGACGCTGAAACAAAAAACTGGAAGCCCTTGGGTCTCTGGTGACGTCAATGAGCTTGGAACCCAATTCCTTGAGAAATCCCAAGGCACTCTTGCCCCAGGGGCCATGCGTCTCAGACGCTATGGGAACAAAGAGGTATTGACCTTCCAGTCGCCTGTACTTGAGTGATTTTGCTGTTTCCCTGTGGTTGGCCGCCCCATATATTTATATATATTTATATTTATTGCTATTTCCTTCTTTGAATGTTTTTTTATTTCTATAATCTATAATCTCTTGTTTTTGTGCACTCAATTCCATATCAATTTCAAAAGAAGATGGGTTATCTTAACACTATCACTAGTCATATATAATGATAACAAAAAGACTTATCTTAACTCGCTAGTTAAGACTGCAAGATAAACAGGAACGCCCTGAGCCTTCATATGTATCAAAGGGATAGGAAACGGGAGAGAGGAAGGAAAATAAATGGGAGGGAGAATTGGAGTGAGAGAGAATGGGAGGGCGGAAGGGTGTTAGAATAGGAGGGAAGGAAAAGTGAGAGATTGGAAGGAAGGAGGGAGGAAGAATCGGAAGGAGAGTTAGAGAATGAAAAGGAGAATGAGAGAGAGTAGCAGGATGTACAAATGTAAATGTGCTGTAAAAGTGGTTGTAATGATTAGGCATGACGAGATGTGGACGGGTGGGTGGGGGGAGGGTGCGTGTGGGAGGGGAGGACCTGGGAGAGGTGTGTGTGGGAGAGGCCTGGGTATAGGGTTGACCCGGGTAATCTATCTATCTACAAAAAAAGTACCACCTCTGGTTGCATTTGTAGGGACCCTTTTAACCTCGGAGAAGAAAGAACGCAGCACCCGGTAAGGCAACCACATAATCGCTGCTGTATTGTCTTTTCCTACCCTCTCCCCCCTTTATTCTAACATTTTACTCAGGATTGGTTAGTAAAAATATAACGATTTATAATGTTCATACATAATATTTTACAAAATATATTAGAATACAATTAACGTGTTAAAAATTCATTATAAACATCGAGCATTTACATCTATACATCTTTGCTCGATCATCGTGGCTTTGTTTGTATTTATGAAACAACATGGAGACGCTGTGAGGACAGTCTTGACCTTATGGATTACCTCGGAGCGCTTCAGAGATCATGAACTGCCTAACTATTCCATTCAAACTAAGTCGTCATAATGGAGAAAAGATGTACAGGTTTCGTAAGCGGACATTTAAGTGTTTGAGGTAAACCACACAGATAAGGATAGGCTGAATAAAAATGGCACAACATATTAAATTGATTAGTGTTTTCAGAATACCAAAGAACATTAACAACGGTTTTACAATAACAACGGTTCATACAATAGCAACGGTTTATACATTAACAACGGTTAAGATATTAAGAATAGATAAGACATTAACAACGGATAAGACGTTAACAACAGAAAAGAGATTAACACCGGATAAGATATTAGCAGCGAATAAGAGGATCAGAAATTAACATCGGTTAAGAACATAACAAAAGCGACAGGAAATAAAACAAAAACATAAAAAGACATTTAACAACAGTCAGCATGACTTTGAACACAAACACCGCGTCCGAACACAGGCTACAGAACACGACAGAATAATTCATATCAACGACAAGCAATAAAGCTGTAACAAGCCCAAGACAATCATCACAAGTTAACATTAAGAAGAGTAAATCCGTATAGTTGTGGGTAGTAACTGTGACATGGTTGGTGACGGTCTTCAGGTTTATCTAAACCTGCAAGGTTATTGGCCCATGACACTCGCAGTGACTAGCCAGCAAAGTGTACTTTAGAAGTGTACAAATTTCAGATCAAAAAAGAAAACTCAGAGAGAATATACACAGAGAAATGGCATATAATCCTGTCAGCAACAGTAAGATGTATCGGATATAAGCCACGTCATACACAAGACTTCGCCAACGGATTTTAAAACCAATCAAATCTAACCTAGCCTAACCTAACCTAACCCAATAGAGTGTAACACAGCCTAACCTAAGCTAACTCATCCTAACCAAACGATATAGATACGGTTTTAACAATCAGAAAGCGCACACACGTGCGATTTAACCAAACTGCGAAATAAATATACTTATCAGAGCCTAGAGAAAACGGCTAGAGGATAGCAACACCGTTATCTGGCGTCTGGGCTCCAAGGTCCACTCGGAGCCTCTGGGGGGGCGGGTATATAAAGCCAGGCAGGACGGGAGAACACTCACCATCGACACCATGAAGGTCCTGGTGCTGTGTGCTCTCCTGGCGGCCGCCGCTGTTGACTCTTCAAGCGGTGGTCAGTATACTGTAGCACTTGTAGAGCCTCGTAGTCACTGTTGTAGTCTTAGTTACTACTGTAGTCGTAGTCGCTACTGTGAGATCCATAGGTATAAGCATCACACATTGTTGTGTAGTTCAGTTGCAGTGAAAAAAAAACATAACAACGGAACAGTGTTTTAAATGTGAATTATGAAAATTGGTTTCAAAATATCATATTTCGCTTTAGTAAATATTTCTTCAGGCAGAACCCCGAAGATTAATAGTTTTCTCCCTCTAGTTACAGTCCTCGTATCCCAGTTCCTTGTCCTCACATCTCAGTTCCTTGTTTTCACATCCCAGCTCCTTGTTTTCACATCCCAGCTCCTTGTTGTCATATCCAAGATCCTTGTCCTCACATCCCAGCTCCTAGTCCTCAGATTCCAGCTCCTAATCCTCACATCCCATTAAGTTAGTTTAAACCTAACTTAAATATTGTATATTTGTTAGAGTGAATAATTAAGATTGAAAACAGTATCAAATGTTGATGTTAATTAATTTTATGTAAGTGAAGCGATATTTTCTTACAAATTTATCTGTTCATGTTAATGTGTTGTAGGTAATTGATTCGATGTTCTCTCAACAGTGGCGTCCGTTGCTGTTAATATGGTTTAGGCAATAAATGAAACGTTATCTTAGCAATGTGGTCTGTATATGTTAATATGTTACAAGTAATTGATGCGATGTTCTTTCAGCAGTAATTTCCGTTGATGTAAATATAATGAAGTTCATTGATGCGATATTCTCTTGGCATTGAGACATATCGGTAATACTCATGCACGTTTGACGCTGAAATTAATGTTTTCACATGTAGAACCATGCAAGCATTTAGTAATAATTTTTTAATATGAATACAGATACATAAAACAACACAAGGAGAATTGGAAGTGCAATGTGGCACAACACTACACCGGTATTTATATAAAATAAAATTACATTTTTCAGATGTGTCTACCGCACAGAAACAACATGACATCAACTTCCTGCTCTTCAAGGTGTATGAGGTTCATCGTGACGCCAACCTGAAGCAGCTCGGGGAGACCTTCAACCCTGAGGCCGACACATCTCACTATACTGACGATGGCGCCGCCGCCCACAAGCTGGTGAAGGAACTGAAGGACGGGAGACTTCTAGAGCAGAAACACTGGTTCTCCCTCTTCAATAATCGACAACGTGCAGAAGCCCTTTTGCTCTATGATGTCCTGGAACACAGCAAGGACTGGAAGACTTTCGTCGGCAATGCTGCTTATTTCAGAGATCACGTGAACGAGGGAGAATTTGTTTATGCCTTGTATGCAGCAGTAATCCACTCTTCACTCACCGAAGACATCGTGCTTCCACCACTTTACGAAGTCACTCCACATTTGTTCACCAACGGTGAAGTTATCGAAAAAGCTTACCGTGCTAAGATGACCCAGACGCCTGGTAAATTCAAGTCAGATTTTACTGGCAGCAAAAGTAACCCCGAGCAGCGTGTGGCTTACTTCGGTGAAGACATCGGCATGAACACCCATCACGTCACTTGGCATTTGGAGTTCCCATTCTGGTGGGACGATGCTCATGAAGGTCACCATCTGGACCGCAAGGGTGAGAACTTCTTCTGGGTACATCACCAGCTCACAGTCCGCTTCGACGCTGAACGTCTTTCCAATTTGTTGAATCCCGTGGACGAACTATACTGGGATAAACCAATTACCGAAGGATTTGCTCCTCATACTACCTACAAATATGGAGGCTACTTTCCTTCACGTCCCGATAACAAGGAGTTTAGCGATGTAGAGGGTGTTGCTCATATTCGGGACTTGGTCATTTATGAAAACCGAATCCGTGATGCCATTGCTCATGGCTACGTCACAGCCAAAGACGGATCTACCATTGACATCATGAACTCTCACGGTATTGATGTCTTGGGAGATATTATCGAGTCGTCTACTTACAGTCCTAATGCTGGCTACTACGGCTCCCTCCACAACACAGCTCACATTGTGCTTGGTCGCCAGGGAGATCCTCAAGGAAAGTACGACCTTCCTCCAGGCGTCCTGGAACACTTTGAAACCTCCACCCGCGACCCAGCGTTCTTCAGACTACATAAATATATGGATAACATATTTAGGGAACACAGGGACAGTCTCCCTCCATATACTAAAGAGGAGTTGCTTTTCCCTGGTGTGGAAATTGAAAACTTCTGTACCAGTGGCCTTCTCCAAACTTATTTCGAAGATTTTGAGTACAGCTTGATCAATGCAGTTGACGACACTGCAGATACCGAAGATGTGGAAATTTCAACTTATATACCTCGTCTGAATCATGAAGATTTCACTTTCAACATCGATATCGACAACCACAATGATCACGAAGTCCTGACTACAGTTCGCATCTTCGGCTGGCCACACAAGGACAACAACGGCCTTCAATACTCCTTCAATGATGGACGCTGGAACGCCATCGAGCTTGACAAGTTCTGGATAAAATGTAAGAGTTATTTTTAAAGCTTTTAATTTTCACTAATGTATATTAAATTTATATATTACATGTTTCGAAAAACTATTATTGCTGATAAAAATTTAAGTATGTATTTCATCAAATTTAAAAAAAAATATTTTCTTTGAATGTTTTAAACTAAAATCCAATTTTGTCCCAATTTGTTTACAGTGAAGCCTGGCGAGAACAAGATCCACCGCAAATCTCGAGATTCATCAGTTACTGTTCCCGACATTCCTGAATTCCACTATTTGATGGACAGAACCGAAGAGGCGCTCTCGAACGGTAGGAAGCTGGACCTTCACGAGTATGTGAGTGCTCTTGGACTGCCCAACAGGTTCCTACTGCCCAAGGGAAACAACCAAGGACTTAAATTTAAAGTAGTTGTGGCTCTCACTGACGGCGAGGCCGACGCTGCTGTAGATGATCTACACACAAACACCAAATTCAACCACTATGGCTACCGAGGAGTGTATCCCGACAAGCGACCCCACGGCTACCCCCTGGACCGTCGTGTTGACGATGAACGCATCTTCCACCGCCTTCCTAACTTCAAAGAAATCGTCGTCAAGCTCTTCCACCGTGATTAAATGAGCAACTCTAACACGTATTATCGTTTAAGAAATAAATGTAACATTTTCCCATTGATAGATGCTTTGATAAAATAATGCTTTGCTGTTGTCACCAAACATATACAAGACCACGATCATTGACTGTACAGTATTTGGCCAAAGTGATTGAAATACAAAATATAAACTTAAAAATTATATTTATATGTTTTATGAGACTCTGCTACACAAGTCAAAAACACAAGTCAAAATCAAAATACTTCATAAAAATATTTGTATTCGTTAGAAGCGCATGACCAATGTATGACCCATTAAGTACAGATCGTTACAGTTGTAAGCACAACAATAAAATGTTCCGTTAATCTGAATCGAGACAAAATATATCATCAAGCTTAATATTTTTTTACTTTAACCTTAAGTAATCAACCTTATTATTAAAGTTTCATTTACAGAAAACAAACTCTGCACAATGCTCTCAATCGAATTGTATTACTCATGCATCATGACCTCACAGAAACGTGAGGTCACACTATGGGGTCGAACCCACATTCCAAGACTTAAGACCTCACTGTGGTTCAGTTGGTAGTGCGTGTGTCTAGGAACTCCAGGCATGCAGGTTAGATACCATTGTATCTCCACAATATTTTCCCTCGTTATTAATCTTCTCCATTCATCGTCTTTTCCTTAAAAATAATGGAACAGTATCACATAAGTAGTATTTAGGCCTACAAATGTATTACTACTGATGTAACCAATATGTCTAGTGTTAATACTGGTGGGATTATTGACCTAAGAGATTCACGTTTTCCTACATACACAGTTACTTTCAGAGCAAAGTGAAGTCAAATCAAGGTTACCTAAATTCAACCGAACGAATGACCAGTTGGTGTCATTCTTCCATCAACTTTGTAAACATACAACCTGACTCTACCTTCATGTTTGCTATTGTTGCAACAGTGTTTCAACACTGTTACAATGTTGTAAAAAGCCATGTATTATAGCTCCAGACCCAACACTATTGTGATTGTGCACCATGTGTACAGGTGCACAATCAACACCATAATAATAAATCCACTGCCAGTTCCATAATTATATATACATAACCAGTACCATAATTATAGGGGCAAAATTAACACCATAATTATAAGCCCATAACCAACACGATAATTATAGGTTCACAACCACCACCATAACTATTGATCAACAGTAAACACCATAATTATAGGTTCACAAACAGCATCATAATTATAGAGTTACAACCAGTACTCCAATTATAGGTCCACAACCAACATCATAATTATTGGTCCACAACTAACTTCATAATTATAGATCCATAACAACACCATAATTATAAGTCCCTAACAACACAATAATTATAGGCCCATAACCAACACAATAATTATGAATCCACAACCCATACCATAATTAGGGGTTCACAACCAAAACACACACATCAGAAGATGGAGAAAAGACGACACACGAAATCATAATGGTCCAGGACGGACCGAAACGTCGTCGTCCCTTCACCTTCTAGTGTGTGGTTTAGTCATCATATCTTCAGTAATGTTATTGTAACTCATCGAATGAACACCATAATTTTAGGTTCACAATCAACACCATAATTATAGGTCCTCAACCAACACTATAATTAGTCAAAGGGTGAGGTTAATGATTATAGTACAAATCTTTTGGCTGTAATCAAACAGAGCTTGTTGAGATTTTTTTTCAAATCCATCCATTACAAATCCACTATGAGCACACAATAACACAGGTATAAGTCTGAAGAAAGAATATCTAAAAATACAATTTCAAATGTAGTGAAACTGACAGCCCCAGACCAAAGATTGTAATTTATTATTGCCTACAACACAAAATAGGTCTTCTGATTTAATTCTTATTAATATTGACGATGAGAAAAAAGTTTAAAGAAGGGAAAGAATATGCAGCACACAAGATCTACAATCTGAGGCACGAGACGCTTCAGTTAGCATCATACAACAGTCTATGGCGATTTGTGATTGCATGGTGAGTGTCATAGTCGGTGGCGTGGTCTTCCACTGTGCAATTCTTTAAGGAGGATTGGTTAGTGTTGTCACAACCAACGACTTCTACTTAGTCTGAAATGTGGATTTCCTGTTCCAAATACTTTTTCAAGAGATTGAAAACACTAACTGTTTATGAGAGAGAGAGAGAGAGAGAGAGAGAGAGAGAGAGAGAGAGAGAGAGAGAGAGAGAGAGAGAGAGAGAGAGAGAGAGAGAGAGAGAGAGAGAGAGAGAGAGAGAGAGAGAGAGAGAGAGAGAGAAAGAAAGAGTGCTTGCCCCAAGCACTCTCTCCCCAAACACTGTCTAGAATGACTGAAGTGGTTATACAGCAGGCTGAAGTTCTCCATCTCCTTAAAACTCTAGATAAGGTCAGTCCGCGACTACTTCGCGGCTGCGCTGACCTGTTGGCTCCACCTCTCACATACCTCTTCCAACTCTGCCTAGTTCAAGGAATTTGGTTCCTTATGGAAGAAGGTTGATGTTGTTCCAGTACACAAAAAGAAAAGCCACTCAGTGGTTTCTAACTACAGACCAGTGTCACTGATCTCCATTATTGGCAAAATGCTAGAATCATTAATCGCTCATCAAATTTTATCATTTTTGTATCATCATCGGCTAATATGTGATCTTGGATAAATAGTCTCACGACTACCAAGATTTTTGTACGGTCAGTGTGGTCTATTGGTTAACATACCAGATATGCCAAGGTGCATAGTTCTCCTGGCTGTCTGGGCTCGAATCCTTCTGGGGTGTGGAGTTTTCAGTTGCATATAAATGAAAATTTAAATAAGTTTATTGAGGTACAAATACTCAGAAAGGGATGACACAGCTCAAGCTATTCTCACCTCATTCTGTACAACGTGTGCAAATGTACTTGCACTCATCAAACAATCATTCAGTACATGTTGATATATATTTACAATAATCACAATAAATCTGTACAGCGTGATCATGTACATTTACACATCTCAAACAATCGACATAAGTGTAATCATTCTGGTTGATAAACATATACATCACTTCCAGTACACACGCAGTATGATACCAAACGGAAACACGTATACATGCAAACTTATAACTAAGTGCAAATACATTGAAATGACAATAAAACGGCGACAAATAAACTCTTAGACATTTCTGCTGGACATTACCATCCAGGTGTTTGCTGGAACACGAAAGTGTAGCTGATACGACTGTCACTTTACCCCAATCCACTTAAATGTCTAAGCCGAGATAAAAAGATATTATAATTAACATGACTGGAAATGTGCAAATGAGGATTGTTTGTATTGCTGTCAATGGGCTATATAGTTACGCATTGTTAGACTATCTATAGATATTTTTTCCATCAGCACATAGATTCATTTAATTTTTTTGCGGGTGGGGAAGAGGGCAAGATTAAAGAGGAATGAGACGAACAGCTGCTCGTTAGGGAAGGGGGAGAAAAATTTGATCATTTAACGCAACCAACATTTATTTTAGAAGGGGACCCGAGTCTAGAAAGGGAGGGTGTATTGAACTTGCTACTGATGTAAAACATGCGAAGGAAAGTGTCTATGTTTAAAGAGATGGGTGTATGGGAGAGATAAATTTTATCAATCACTGCACATACACAATCGGTTCTCTTCACAGGTTTAAGATATTAGTTTTTGTTTGTAAGTGAAATCGAGTTGGAACACACATTGTGATACGAAAATTGCATATCATTTTCCCCTCACTCCCCCCCCCCCTCTCCTAAAAAAAGAGAGAGCAGTGGCCCTCAGCTCTAGGGGTATCACTTGATAAGGGGATTGTGTAAGTTGGTAGTCACAACATTCCAAGGATGAGCACATAGATACGTGAGAGGGAAGGAGCTCTATCACAGCATAACACATGTAGCTCCAGGCCAGCCTGGGGTGGTAACAGGGACGACAGGTGTCGTTAGTGGGGTTCTATTTGTGATGCCTTCAGGTGGCCGTCAATCCTATATATTCATGTCAACTCATCCTCCTGTTAGATAGTACTTTTTCAACTATGTGGACCATCTTTCAACTTTTATACATGGATGTAATGGACCATACAATAGCAGAATGTTGTACTATTCGCTATAAACACAAAAAAAGCCGAAACCTAACTTAAATATTCCTAGGCTTAGTATAGCACATACCTACTTTATTAGGCCTCAGCGTGTTTTAACTCAGCCAGATAAAAATTTAACTCTCAAAATTCATTTTACAATTTTATTGTGGCTTGGCGTTAAGAGATGCGTTTCGTTGACCCTTGTCAACATTATCAAAAGGCAGAGTACAAGTTGTTATAGTTTTAGAGCAGGTGAATATATTACTTGGGGTGAGGTGAAGTAGAGCAGCCTTCACCCAATAGGTTGAAGGCTTCAACCAATAGGTTGAAGGCTGCTCCACTCAAATGGTGGAAGCCCGGGTCGACCCATCAATTTTGCTAACAATAAATGGGTCTATCATAATTATAGGGCCAATGTTTAAAATATGACCATTATATTTTATTCAACTATGATTCTGTCCATAAATGATTTGACGGAGGCCACTTTGTTTACATAATTCCGGTTATTACATGATTGTTATCTCTCATTTACATAACAAACAATGCATTAGACTCCTACCTAATTCTTTAAAAAGAAATTACCGAGTTTATCCAATATACACTTTAACACAGCATTTCCAATGGATTATTTTAAACACGATCACTATTAGTAACGAGTAAGATTATTTTTTAAATGTATTTTAATTTTTAAATATAAAAAAATAGTAACAAGTTTTAAGTTGTGAAGCAACTTTGTTCTGTTCTCAGTAAATGGAAGACTCAGCAAATATATTACAATAAAGCCTCTTTCTTTGTATTATATCTCTCGTTACGTTTATAAAGCGTTCTTTTTGCTTAATTTAAAGCATGATCAAGTGAAATATTTGTCGGCGGATAAAACGGTCTTTTTCACCCCACCACTAACCAAATGCAGATTGTATTTACATGTAAAAATTCATAAGTTTCCCCTAAAATAAAATACTTGAATATCGCTTCTAATAAATGCGTGATGAGACATGCTAAAAATATATATCCATGCTAATATATTTGTATCCAAATATATAAATATATATCCAGTCCAAAACATACCGTATTTGCTCACGCAAAAGACATGAGCAGTCTTATGCGTGAGGAAATACAGTATGTTTTGGACTAATTCAGAGATACGTAAAGAAACTGTTTGGATTGAAGTAATGATAAGTAATCAATTAATATAAATATAATGTTTGGTCTAAAAATAATTATTATCGAAGAATTTCACATATTAACTGAAAATGTTAAGCCAGTATTTACCGAAGCCGAAATGGAGAATAGGA